GTAGCTAACTTAAGACTATAGAATTTGAATGGATATATACGTTAAAGAAAATAAAAGTATGTTTTAATGCATACTGAACACAGCTTAGAATTCATACACCAAATGAAAAAAAAAAGTCTTTTTTAACTTTATTTGTAAGAAGTTCACATACTCTTAACAGAGTTTAGAGGCAAAAATGCTAAACCATGAATATTCTTTTAAGAATTGGAACAAATATATTCGCTCTTAACAGTACCATTTATTGTATACAATGCATATTGTTCTTGAAAAAAATACCATCTGCAAAATTGAATATTAGGTTCTATGTTATCTTTCTCCTCTGTATTTCACTCAGCTTTCTCTTTGCATCAATATAATTGGCCTTAATTTTTATCTAAGCAGTGTTTCCTAATCCCTGGTCCAGCACTTTTCACACTAACATCTTTCCTATCCACCCCAAATGTAAGAGTTCAGTTTGCCTTTCTTGATTCTTTCAGTTCTTTTTTCCTCTATTTTTGTATGCCTGGCTGTGATTTGAAATGCTCCAAGTAATTGCATTGCTTATTTTTTCCCAAAGAAGGCTAAAACCAGATGCAACTTTTAGTGTGTTATGTGTTTTTATTTTAGAAAAAAATGTAGCAATATTAAATTTATATAACTAATTTTTATATTAATAATTACGAACATGCTGTGGCCAAAATCCTAAAAATTATATAAAAAATTAAAGTGGTGATGCCAGCCTTAGGTATTTAAGTGATTGATAAAAATCCATAGTGAATAATGAGATATATTTTAAGAATATTAAATGTGTTATCAAATAAATATTAAACATTATATATAATATAAAACTTTATGAGGGGAAATAATCTATTAGCATTCTCATATAATATTGTTAAACAGATGCATCTACGTGGGTAAATGCAATTTTCTAAAAAGGGGAGGAAGGACGTGGAAGGAAATTGTATTTGTTCATCAAGTACTACATCTAGCCTATTTTATGTTTCCCATTTATGCATATAATTGTTTCATCTCAGAACATGATTAAACCCATAAGTAGGATACTTTCTTGAAAGATTTTCATTTTACGATTGAAGTACTTCATTTCTGTGACCTTCTATAGTTTAATTTTAGCATACCCTAATACTTCCATATGCAATTTCAGTGTGAGAGACAATATAATAATGCTTCAAAGGATTAATACAAAGATTCAAATCTTTCCTCTCTAAAGATAAATAATGTAAACAATTCATTTAAAAAAATAGTTTCACCCACTCCTAAAGTTTGTTGAGTAAGCACTCTGGATATGATTGTGAGAAAGAACTCCATGAGCAACTGAAATTTAGCATGTACATCATTCTTCATGAAAAAGGAAATTGCAACTTTAATAGGTAATTCTAATATGCTATTCCAATATTTCTTAAATTAAGAAATGGAGATCATTCTTTCTGTCACTTCAGTTGTACATATTTTTATCAGAGGTTATCTTACCATCAACGATAAAGGATGATGTATGATGCCCAAACAAATGTACAACAGGATAATGTAGACCCAAGTGACACTAAAATAATTTACCCTATCTTAAAATGTCATCTGTTGTCATTGTCTCATAAGTGGTAGAACTCAATTTTAACAATATCTAGAATGTATTTATTATCTAGAACAGTACAGACAAAATGAAATATATTTTATGTGTGTATCAAAAGAATTGCTTTGTCATAAGTGAAAATAAGTTACACAGTATAATTTGTTATATTTAGATTTTGTATTCAAGGTAAGGTAATTTGAATTGAGCTTATTCACTAAATGTAAATAAAACAGTACCATTTAAGTGTCACAGATACGAATGAACTATATCAATAAAGATTGCAGTTGTTTTTTTTTTTAATAAAGCAGGATGTCATGCTAATCCAAAGGCACAAATACATCTTAATTATTTGAAATAAGAAGCATAAAATAAAGGTAAGATTATAAAGTTACAGTTCATTGTTGGCACTCAAATAATTTGATTAATAAAATCCTTCTATTTATATAAATGTTTAAATCAAAGACTAAGATTCATGTAAAGTTTGCCGGATCAAATAGTCTTTGAAAAATGCTTTTATAAGTATTAATATTAAAAATAAGGGAAAACTAGAGAAACATTACATTAATGTTAGACATTAGCATCAATAGAATGGCAATAAATCTATCCACAAAAATAATAAATAAATTTTTAGAAGTCACAATTCTAAATTCTTTTGCCGATCATTGTAAAATGTGTTGACACATTAATTTGTGCCAGTTTTAAAAACAAAATATTTATCAAAATGCTGATATTACTGTTCTTTCTTATATGTTGTTGAATATAGATTGTCATTGCCTAATTGCACATAACCTATCAAGAAATACAAATATTTTCAGTGATATTTTTCTTCTTTGTTTGAATTAGCATAGGGTTCTTATTATTTAACCCTACTTATTATATTCAGTCAACTCTTTTGACATTTTATACTAACATTTAAGAGTACTCTCAGACAGTAAAAATAACATTTATACAGTTAAATGGCATGTTTAATCTAGAATAAGAATGAAAAATAAGAACAGATTATTTCAGTTCTACTCATATTTTACAATTTACTACAAGAATCTCTTATTTGGAGAATTTTACAAATAGAGTAAGTTGGAGCATTCCATTGAAATGTTATCATTTTTTTTTAATCACAGTATTGCCTTGCTCCTGAATGGCATAGATTTCAAAGACAAGAGATAAGGACCACCCAGACAACTGAAACAGTGCACTTGAAACAGTCTGTCTACAATTAGTTTCAAATTATCTGCTAACCTCAGATCATTATTCCACATTAGTGGCAAGAAATTTAACAGCATATATATGTATATGTATATATATATGTATATATATATATATAAAAGAAATATTTAAGTAAATTGCTTTACATGGAAAGTCCAAAGAAACGAGAGAGACAGAACTTTCAAATTGAAGAAACACAAAAATATTTGTTCTTTATAATGATTTCTCCTCTCTTGAAGTACAGCACAAATATATTAATAGTAAACATGCTAAACTGGTTTCTCAGTTTTCCTAATTCTTCCACCATTATTAGTTTAAAACCAGCCTTATCCAGGAAAAATTAGCATTCATGGCTATTGCTTCATGGACATTTTACTATGCTTGTTTACTTTGCACAAACAAATTCAAGTACTTTGACTAGTTATAGCACATTGGTACAAAAGGGGGAAAAACAGTCCAATAAAGCAAAGAGATGATCACAGAAACATGACTTAAATAGCAACAGTCAAACCCATCAAAAGACCAGTTGGATAATTTCTACTCAAATTCCTAGGTAGGCACAGGAAATCTTTTTCTTCAGAATATGCCAGAAAAAAAATATCAAGGGGAGATTCCTGCACTATAATCCTGTGAATTATGGCAACGACACTGGAGATTTAGTGCATGAACATGCAGATGGACACATTCTGTCCTGCTAATAACTAAAGGTTTGTAAAATTATTTGGTTGTCTCTCCTTGCCTGACAGTTTCAAGCACTTTGTAAATGACAGTGTTCATGAGTAGCATTAAAATTGCATTTAATATATCACCAAATTATCTCTATAGAGAGACATGGGGAAAAGGTTGACCTGCACAGTTAAAACTCTCCTCCAATGTTCTATTGGTATGCATTCCCCAACCAGTCAATATTTGAGCTATAATACCACCTGAAACACTAAAGATTATGAATGTAATGGGGCCTAAAGAAACCTTTGGCGCTCTAGGGTAACAAATAATCTAAAACCTGCTCCCAACTGGTATGTATATTTATAATCATAAATACATTTATTTTAACTTACATATGAGTGAAAATCATGTTTTATTCTTTTACCTCTGGGAGCTTGCATAGCTTGGAAGTTAATAAGTATTTTATTCTGGTATAGGCCCTAACAAGTAATATTAGAAAGTTTGTGTTGAATAGCCAAGGAATTTCTTCAACCAAAGTTGTTTATCAAAATCTTAAAATGACTTCTAGCTACAACACACAAAAGAAAAACAGATAGTGGCAATTCAGTTGTTTATCACTGACACTTTTATGGCATGTTTACATGTTATTTTCTTCTTTATTTAACCACTAAGGATTTTAATTTCCATTAGCCAATTACATTTAATGATGGACCTATAACACTGGGAAAATGAATTTTTAAACAAAGATCATCTAAACCAATGGTCAAAAAAATGTATCTGAGGATATGGTTTGAAGTATTTCAACACTAAGGACTTATTTTTTTGATAAAATTATTTAAAAAGTAAAATATAATCACATATTTATAAATATATTAAGACAACATTGATATTGTTACCATTTCAATTTACTTTATTTGAAGCTGAGGGCAGAAATCAATATTATTTTCACTTGCAATACATTTATTTTTTTGTGTAATCCATTGTGAGTGATTATGGCATATATAAAGAGAGAGATTTACGGAATCTTTCTAATCTAATTTTACACACAACTAATATTCGTTCAAATGGGTAACAATTTTGATCTGGCATTTCAGTCTATCAAAACTTAACATTCAAATAGCACTGTAACTATAACTTAGAATTTTCCAAAGTTTCTCTCAATTTTTAATATCTGCTAAAGATAACTGGCTCCTTCAAGCCCAAGTTCCCTGAAATTCTCCTGATAATTATTAACTGTTTTCATCTTAAACTGAAATCCACGTTAATAATCTGTTTGCCCAAGATAGGATGAAAAACATGCAGGGCTTTCTTATACATTTAGCTCACAAAGCTTTTTTTTTCTTTTTGTTTTTTCTTAAACCCCTATTTGTGGGAGAGGTTGTCAATGAAATATATAGTCCTTAAGAAACAGAGCACTTTAGCTGTATAATAAATTGCAGTATTTCAATCACAGAATCAAATTGATACCCAAGAGTTGATGCCAGTCAGATCTCTATATTGAAATTCATAACAAAATGAACAACAACAATAACAACAACAACCAAAGTTAATGGACCATGGGCAGGAATATTTGAGCATATGTATATGTGTACAAGCTATTCCAAGCTAGAAGTTTCCCAAGAAATTAAGGTCAGTGGAATAGTTTTGGTCATAGGGTCACTGCAATCCAAATGCTGTTTGTAGCATTGTTCAAGCCTCTGTGATCTTGGTGTTATGCTTTGCTGTCTTCTTTTGATTGTATGATGTCGTTAGAAACCTTAATTTCTATAGTTTCTGGATTTAAGACTTCTTTTCCATTTTCTTCTTTTAAAGGCAATTTTCTGGAAGGAAATATAAAATAATGACCTTCATTTTCTACTGCAGTTTAAGTGGTACTCCTTAATACTAAGTTACTGCCTTATAGAAGTCAGTATCTACAATTATTAGAATGAAAAAAATCAGATTTGTTAGTCATATCAAAATGATAGAAAAATAATTAGATGATATTGTCCGTTGTAAAAATGTGATGTACTGCAAAATGATGAATGAAACAATGTATTTGTAGATTTTGATGCACAAAATCGTTCACTATAGGGTGGCTTAGATTTGATAACCAGTTATTGATACATAAAATAGAATTGTTTAGAATCTAAACAAGCCAGTATTTTTTTTTAACTCATGAGACAGAAAGAGAGAGAGAGAGAGGCAGAGCAAGAAACAGGGTCCCCATGGAGCAGGGAGCCCAATGTGGGACTCTATCTTAGGACCCCAGGATCATGAACTGAGCCAAAGGCAGATGCTTAACTGACCGAGCCACCCAGGCCCCCACAAGCCACTATTTTTATATGTCAACTAGATGAGTTACTAGTACCTAAGTTTTTTCAAATAAAAATCATTAATAGTTGCTGCCATATTTTGTTACATACTTCAAAAGCTGGGTGAATTAGCTATGTTCTTTGGAACTTAATGAAAGTAAATATATTTCAGGACTTTCTCACTTTTCTACATTTATTGTATATGTTTTCTTTAATTGGTCTCTTTTCACTATTATTTTTTTGTTATTTTTGTATCATTTATACGCACATTTTTTTGAGTTGCTTTCAATTATAACCTGTGAAGGAAAACCAGCTTGCTTGCTTGCTTCCTTTCTTCTTTTTATTTTTTTTAAGATTTTATTTATTTATTTGAGAGAGCAAGAGCAGGGGAAAGGGCAGAGGGAGAGGGGGAAGTAGACTCCCCATTCAGTGAGAAGCCTGACGCAGGGCTTGATCCCAGGACCCTGGAATCATGACCTGAGCTGAAGGCCAACACTTAACTGACTGAGCCACTCAGGTGGCCCTTTATTTTTTAACAATAGTTTCACAAATCTTACTATGATGACAATGATTCAAGATGTATAGATTTTTCTACCGGTCTTGAATCCAGTGGTTTATGATTATGCCTTATTTACATAGGTTTGGGGGGAAGATTTCCTCCCTTGACAAAATATTTTTTCCACATCAAAAACAAATTCCAGGGCGCCTGGGTGGCTCAGTTGGTTAAGCGACTGCCTTCGGCTCAGGTCATGATCCTGGAGTCCCAGGATCGAGTCCCACATCAGGCTCCCTGCTCAGCAGGGAGTCTGCTTCTCCCTCTAACCCACTTCCTTCTCGTGCTCTCTATCTCTCATTCTCTCTCTCTCAAATAAATAAACAAAATCTTTAAAAAAAAAAAACAAATTCCAGTTCAATTCTGTACTTTAAGGTCACCATTTTGTTAGGCAGTGAATGCTACTATGCTAATTTCTCTGGGATTTTTGTGTAATTTCTTTTCCGTTTTTGAATGAGAAGAGCAAGCCATTAGGTTCTGAAGATCAAAGCTATTATGTGAAAACTAACCAATCACAAGTAAGTCACGGGTAAATGTTACTACATCCCATTGCTGGGAATGAAACAGCATCTACTTTATACCTGTTAGGGCAGGTTCTTTTGTGTGTATTATAAATAATGCTTTCACAGTTCTTCCATTCTCCCACTCCCAAGTATGGCAAATATTGATAATAAAAGATAAAACCAATAAGGCCACCTCTAAGCAGCAAAATATAGAGAAATTTAGAGCTTGGGTGGGAGGTTAGCATAATACTTAATATATTTTTATTCAAAGAATTATAATACTGGAATTAACCAGTGTTTTCAACTAATTCTTGGATGATGAATTTTTGCATATATAGTTTTCACTACTTAAATTTATGTTAAATTGCTTTCTTTAAAGATTACAGTTAATTCTATTATTTTTATGTTGAGTATTTCTTTTCTATAACTGAGGATTGGAGTAGTTATTAGATCATCTTTTTTTGTTTTTGTTTTATTTTTTGCAAAATATTGCTCTGTCACATGTAAGGGCATTTTCTTAGCTAGTTTTTTGTTTTGTTTTGTTTTGTTTTTTGTATTTTCAAGTTTTTATTTAAACTTCAGTTAGTTAACATATAGTGTAGTATTAGTTTTGGGAGTAAAATTTAGTGATTCATCATTTACATATAATACCCAGTTCTTAGCTAGTTTTCATACGCACCAACCTCTCATTGTAAGTGTTAATCAACAGACAGAAATATGTTTTGTTGTGTAAAATTTTGCTTCATTCAAAAGACTTCTAACTTCTGAAGGAAAAACTATAGAACCCACCTTGTAAAAGCTGCCTCTACAAGGGTAAACTTTAATTTAGAAGGTAATAATCTCTAAATGCAGTCACTGCCATGACCTGAGGATTTATGCTGAAAATTTAGCTGCATAGTAGTACTTTGTATTTCTCTAAATAGTAATTATTTCAGCCCCTTGAGAGCAGATAGCAGGCATTTCTGAAATAAGTTATTTTCTTCACTTGTGACAACATACAGCCTTCCATTTAGGATAAGAAACCCAAATTAAATTTCTCTGTAAGTGTTTTCTGGTAAAGAAAAAGGAATCCTTAAAAAAACAAACAAAAAAAAAACCCAATATAATTTAGAAGTAACTTTAGTGAGCAGTATTTTAAAAATAACGTGATAGTCATGGTTTTGTTTATATTCAATATATTCCATAGAACACTATTATAATTCCTTAGTAATGTCTTTGGCTTGAATGATTTTAACTTTCATATTGTCTGAACATCATCTTTGCACATGTTCATCATCTTTGCAGATTTAGTTGAAATATCTGCTATGGCTATAATGGAGGTCTGATGGGTACAGAAAGAAGTAAATAATATAATCTTGAATGGAGAGCAAGCACCATTTCCTATATAGACATTAAAATGATAGATAATTTGGGACACCTGGGTGGCTCAGTCAGTTAAGCATCTGCCTTTGGCTCAGGTCATGATCCCAGGGTCCTGGGACTGAGTCTCACAGTGAGCTCCTTGCTCAGCAAGGAGCCTGCTTCTCCCTCTGCCTGCCTCTGTCTCTCTCTCTCTGATAAATAAATAAAATCTTTAAAAAAAGAGATAGACAATTTAACAGTATTTCTTCTTCTTTCTAATGAATATTTTTCTTTTTAAAGTAGACTTGTGTACATTTTCACACTATTAATTTTTATTTTAAATTGTGATATTCATATTCAGAGTAATGATTCATTTCCTGACACTTTTATATTTCAGTAAAAATCAGATTTTGAAAGTATCACTTTCTTCTTTTTAAAGATTTATTTATTTTATTTTTTAGTTTTTTAAGATTTTATTTATTTATTTGGGAGAGAGCACAAGCAGGGCCAGGGGCAGAGGAAGAAGCAGATTCCGCATTGAGCAGGGACCCCAAAGCTGAACTCAATCCCAGGACCCTAGGATCATGACCTGGGCCAAAGGCAGATGCTTAACCACTGAGCCACTCAGATGCCCCTTATTTATTTATTTAAGAGAAAGAGATTAGGAGTGCATGAGTGGGGGAGGGGGCAAGGGCAAAGGGAGAGGGAAAGAGAGAATCTCATGCAGATTCCCCACTGAGTACAGAGCCAGACACAGGCTTAATCTCACAACCCTGAGATCATGAGTTAAACTGAAATCAAGAGTCATATATTTAACCTTAACTGACTGAGCACTCCAGGTGCCCTGAAAGTATCACTTTCTTACAGAGTAAAATGAGCGTAAGAAAATCCAACTCTAACATGTTCCATCTTTTTGACATTTTTACATAAAATTATAAATATATGTTTGAACAGTAGATTTTCTCTGGCATTGATACAAAATTTTCATATGTAATGTGTCCCTAGAAAATGGTTTTCGATATTCTCATCTATTTTCTTTGAAAAAGAAATATTTTTCTACAAATGTTATTTGTAAATATATACTACAAGGAATGATAATGTTATCATTTTACAAATATTTATCTAAAAATAATAAAGCATTTGATGGGTGCCTGGGTGGCTCAGTGGTTAAGCATCTGCCTTCGGCTCAGGTCATGATCCCAGGGTCCTGGGATCGAGCCCCGCGTCGGGCTCCCTGCTCCACGTGGAGCCTGCTTCTCCCTCTCCCACTCCCTCTGCTTGTATTCCTTCTCTCGCTGTCTCTCTGTCAAATAAATAAAATCTTTAAAAAATAAAAATAAATAAAAATAAAAATAATAAAGCATTTGAAGCTACTTACTCAGGTTCTGTTAGTGGTGTGGTTTCATTTGGCTCATTTACTGGGCTCCCATCCTCATGATTAGTGATTCTTTCATCCTCTGTTCTCATCTCCACTATTGGTTCTTTTGATCCATCTTTCCTAGAAAAATAAACAAACAAGAAAACCTTAGTTATGTAATGTAAAAATAGATGCATTATGAAACATAGTTTAGAATCTCCACATAATCCCACCTCTGCCTGCCAAAAATCCAGCATGGTCAGTTTAAGAATACCCTAAGAATTTTTTATTTTTCATTTAAATTCATCTCACCCACATAATTTTCACTCAGAAAAAATAGAAAGGAGAAATTCCACTTTATCTAGGATTCTTTTTTTTTCATCAAAATTGTGTTAATTTTTTGCAAAAGTCTAAATTTTAAATTTGATTGTGCAGTTTATTTTGGGAAATAAATAAAAATATATTTTGTTAAAGGAAATTATGACATGAAATAGCTTTTTCCCCCTAAGAAGCCATATGCTTTAGATTTTTTTAATTTGAAATATAGCATCAGAAATAATGCTTCTATATTAAAATTTAGAAGATAAAATTTTTCTATATGAGATGTAGCATTGTTTTAAATGTTTTTATGAATTATATGAATGATTTTAACTATAATATGATATTGACTATACATATTCATGTTTTCAAGAAAATAGTTTACATAAAAACAATATTATAACACATAAGCATGATGTTTTCATTTGTAATTTCAAATCCATGTCATCTTTATTGGATTTTTAAAATATGAGAATAAGTGTAATTTTACATAATTGTGGAATTTTCATAAAATTAGAAAGTTTACACTAAGGTTTCATTCCTCAAAAAATGAACAAAAAGAAAGAAAGACAAGGAAGGCATTTAGTGATGACAAAGGATAAAGTGAGATATAAGCACTGAGAATGATACACTCATAATAGAGATTATAATTATTGCACAAATACAAAAAAAAAATGTAAGAGAGGGATAGGGGTCCTCACATACCCAGGGACATAGTCTCACCATACAATCTTGCAACTGTACTCTAACATATTTACCCAAATGGACTGAAAACTTATGCCCATGCAAAAATCTCCACATGAATGTTTATAGAAGTTTTATCATAACTGCCCCAAAATGGAACCAAGTAAAATGTCCTTCAACAGATGAATGGATAAACAAACTGTGGTACATCCATACAGTTGGATATTATTCAGCAATAAAGAGAAATGAGCTATCTAGCCACAAAAAGACCTGGGAGAACTTTAAATTCATACTGATAAGGAAAATAAGCCAGTCTGAAAAGACTACATACTATGTAATCCCAATTACACTGAATTCTATAAAAAGCAAAATTATAGAGAAAATAAAATCATTGTTTGCTGGAGGTTGAAGGTGAGGGAGGGATGTAATGATGGAGCACTGGGCACATTAAATCTATTTAATATTGTAATGACAGATATATGACATTAAAATTAGTTCTTAAAAATCAAGTAAACTAAGAGTACATACAAAATAAAGCAAACAACAAAACCCCAACAATGGCACAAATATTTAACATACCTTACAAATGCTGACTCTTGAACAGGAAAATATTGAGACTGATAAAACACTTTTGATCAGGTGGCAGGTTTGATATTGCTCTTATTTCAGTATGTAGGTCCCTCACATACATACACTTCAAAATATGAAGAATGGATGTTAATAGAAATGGAAGAAAATCTAGAACTCTATAATCTAGAGTTAATAGTGAAGAACCATTTATACCTCTAAAATGCAAATGTCTGTGAGACCTGGTGATTCTGATGTGTTCAGCACACCTGAATAGCGACTACAAGGAAGCAAGATCTACATAGTAGTAAAGATGATTAAAGAGCCCACCACCATTAAATTTGAGCTTTATGTTGTTTTGTTTGCTGTTTTTTCTTGCAAACAAAGATTGATTCTTTTAAAAAATTCTTCATGATATCAATGCCCTTGATGACATAGAGGATGATACTGTTTGGAAAAATGTGGCTATTGCTGACTCTAAGCAAAAAAGTGATTCAAAGGGTTGGATTTTATGTTTATATTAGCAGGTGCAGATCTAGGGGTGTGAATTAAATAAAATAGAATGCAAAAAAAAAGAAGATAGTGAATTTGGGTTTTAATTGTACCCTCCTTTGCTTATGTATTGAAAATAAGACATGAGCAAACCACTTTAAACTAGAAATAATAAAAAAAACATTACTAAAAGGGAATTAGAAGAGTTAGAAGAGAACATGGGTGAGTTGTCTTAAAATCTTTATTTTTGTTTTTAGTGATCTTTTACATTTTTAACTAGCTAGTGTATTCATATATTATAGAATTCTACAAAGGGTATATAGAGAAAGGTACACCTCCCTACCATTCCTATTTACAGGATATTAAGTTACCTATCATAGAGACAAGCACATTTTCAAACTGTTTTCCAAAGACATTCTTTCTATTCATATACTAGCATATATGTGTGAAAATGCAGGGAGTTATTTTTATACAAATGGTACATACTAACTGAGTATAATTTTGCCTTTTCGATGAACACTAGAACATTTAGAGCTGCCTCTTTCTTTTCCATGGCACATACTATCCCATTGTATGTATGCACTATATATTTGGCCAGTGTCCAACCAACAGACATTTAGGTTGTTTCCAATATCTTCTATTAAAATAAATACTATAAGGAGTATGAAATGCATATTTTCCTTACCCTTAGGTGAAAATATCTGAAGCACACATATAATTTCCATGAGTCTAATGCCTATCTTGTATAAATTATATTTAATTATACTTGAAATGATATCAGAACTATTACTGATATTTTCTGTCGAATTATAAAAAAATGGTAAAGGCAGTATTTTATTTAAATTGACATAAAAATGCATGCCACAATTTATGGACAATTTCACAATGTATAGACTGGTAAAAACTAAATAAATTCCTGCCAGGTTTCTAGAACTGATTATTAAGCAGGAAATGACAAGTACAGCAGAATCGTTAAAATGATGTGCCCTGGGTCCAAACTAGCTGACTCTCACTAACTTACAGCCTAAGCATTTCTCTGTCCTGTTGCCTGGATAGTAAAACAGAGATGATAGTGAGACCAAACTAATTTCTTCAGTGTTTAGAATAGTGCCTGACATATATGAAGCCCTGAATCAGTAACTGTCTTCAGTATTCTAGGAGGGCAAAGAGGATTTATGTTGGGAAATACATTACTAAAACTTGCAACTTCAACAAATTAAAGAAAAACAAAATGAAAATATCTCAAAACACACTAAGAAAGAAAGATCTATAAAATTCATTGGTTCTCAAATAAAAATGGAAAGATTCATATAATTAATGGCATCATAAGAAAAACTCAAACCTTAGAATAGACTGGGGAAAATATTTGCAACAAATATGACGTCAAATAATTAAGGGCCATATTATATAATTAAAAAGTTAGAGAAAAGTTAAATAACTCCATGAACATTTGTACAGAATATGAACAAAAAGCTCCCTGAAGAAATAAAGTGACCAAAGCGAAATCATAAAACAAATAAGCTCAGACTTAACCTGGATCAGAAAAATGCAAATTTTAAATGATATCTTTCACTTATTATATTGAAAAAAATAAACATAAATTGATAATATTTAATGTTTGTTTGAAAAGCTATAGAGAAATATATATTCTCTGATTTTATTAAGAGTTTAGTATAGAATTTTGTGGGCAATTTGTCAGTATTTTTCAATTTTGATTTACATTCCCTGTCTAGGAGCATAATATACATTTACAAGATTTATGTAAAAGTTAAGTTCAAACTGCATATTATACTTCAATATGATAAAATATTGAACGTTTCATCTAAATTGTCATCAAAGACAAGGGGATAGATGCATGATGGTATTTGATACTATAGAATAATATTTATTTATAAAAAGAAGGATCCAGAAATTTACATGCTGAAAAGGTACATTTTGAAGCTTCACTGCTATCTGAGAAAACATTGCAATAATAGATGTACATATATGTGCGTATTTATACATAGCAGTGTGTGTGTGCATGTGTACATAAATTAGATGCAATTCTTACCTTTGCTTCCTATAGATAAGGAATTTATTTCCTCTAGCTTCTTTCAGGAATTTTTCTTTATCTTTGAATTTCTGTAGTTTGAAAATGATATGACTAAGTATACTTTTTGTTGTTTTATTTTGTTTTGTTTTGGGCATTTGCACTCCTCAGTGTTCTCTGAGCTTTCTGGATCTGTGATTTTGTGTCAGATATTTATTTGGGGAACTTCGCAGTCATTAATGTTTCAGATATTTCTGTTCGGTCTCTATTTCTTCTCCTTCTGGTATTCCTATTACACATATGTTTCACCTTGTGTAGTTGTCCCATAGTTCTTTTTCTGTGGATTTTTTCCAGTCTTTATTTATTTATGTATTTATTTATTTATTTATTTATTTATTAGAGAGAGAGGCAGGGAGGGGCAGAGGGAGAGGAAGAGAAAGAATCTTAAGCAAGCTCTATGCCCAGCACAGAGCCCAACATGGAGCTCGATTTCACAACCCTGAGATCATGACCTGAGCTGAAATCAAGAGTTCGAAGTTTAACCAACTGAGCCGCCCAGGTGTCCCTCTGTTTGCTTGTAAGTTTTGGTATTTTCTATTAAGATCTCCACAAAGCTCAGAGATTCTTTCTTCAGCCATGTCTGGTTTACTAGTAAGCTCCTCTGGGACATTCTTCATTTCTATTAGGATGTTTTTGGTCTCTAGCACTTCTTTTGGATTCTTCTTCAGAATTTCCATCTCTCTGCTATATGACCCAATTTCATGTTGTCTTACAGTGTTCTCACCATATTAATCATATACTTAAAAAAAATCTTGGTCTGATAATTCCAACATCCCTGCCTTCTCTGAATCTGGCCCTGATGCTAGTTCTACCTCTTCAAAATGATTGTTGCTTTGAGTATACCTTATAGATTTTCTTGATCCTGGGACATGATGTACTGGTTAGAAGGAACTGCCAAATATAGGCATTTACTAATGTGGTGGAATAGTGGCATGTGGAGAGGGTGCATTCAATAATCTTATCATTAGGCCTCAGTCATTAGTAATTCTGCACCCCTGGACTCCAAAGTTCACCATTGTTCCTCGGGATCCCACCCTGAAGTGAGTCAGGATGGTTCGAGTGGACTGGAGTTATATATTTGCCTTCTCTCACCTGGCAGTAAAGGGGGCTGGTTTGGATATCTCTCTGTACATTGAAAAGCCATTTTCTCTCTCTCTCTCTCTCTCTCTCTCTCTCTCTCTCTCACACACACACACACACACACATACACACACTGGCTAATTACTTTCTATTAGATTTTAATATTTTAGTTCCTTTACAACTTAAGTCCAACCATGAAAATTCTTTCTTTTTTTGTAGCATTTATAACAGAAACTATTTATTTATTCATCCATTTGATTGTTATTTTTTACTGAAACATTTTCCCAGCAGAGTAAAAGCTAGATGATGGGACTAGTTTGCTTTTCTTCACAGTTGTATCTCTGGGGCTTAGAGTAGTGCCTGACTATGTAGGTGTTCAATAAATATTTATTAGCATAAATTAATGCTTGGGTGGACAAGAGTATAAGCATAGTTTGATAAAGTATAAATCATTCACCATTTTTATTAGATAAATGATGAGAATGCAAGATAAAGGTAAGTTTAAATTTATAATAGCCAAATAATGGAATATTCTAGAACTTTACATGAATGACATTCTGTATGCAACTGACTTTATTTCTCTTTTCTGGAACTTGATACTCTTTAAACAAGAATACTCTAGGTGTGTAATTAACATATTCTGTAAAAATCTGCACAGTCTTATAATTGTGCTAACATGAAAGTACTAGTCTAAGAATACTTCCAATCATGTTTAGAGGCCAGTAGAGATCCAGTCCATCCAAATCAGGAATATTCTATTTCCCATTGTGATTTTATGTAAAATTTTTGAGAAAAAAGTATAATATCTTCCCAATTCAAACAACAAATTTATGAAGAAGAGTTGAAAACTATTTTCCCAAAGCAGGGGAAATGACAATATAAAAAGTTATGATGGATAACAAATACAGAATGAACTCCGTGTTTTCATCTTCCCAAGTCTTTAAGGTTAATTAAACCCAGCAGGACTTAGAAACCAAAGTGTTGATGGATAAATTACCAATTAATAGAGTGAAATAAAAATAAACGGCAGAACTTGAATATACCTCATTGTTTTGCACACAGTCACCAACATCCCTCCAGTTAATTAAGACAAAAACATGATTTCTCTTTCTTTCACCCCAAAGCCAAATCAATCAATAGTAGTTGACTCTACCTCAGCTTTATCTAGACTCCAAACATTTCTATCTGCCTATAGTACTGCTACCTTGGTCCAAAAGAATATAATTTTTTACCTGGAGTATTTCAAGATCCTCCCACTCAATCTTTCTGATTCTCAATCTTTCCTCTACACCTATCAACCTTCCAGTAATTCATTGTTCACAACTAGCTAAAGTAAGCTTTAAACACTTAACTGGCAGTGCCTGGTTCGCTTAGTCATTTAAGTGTCTGATCTTTGGTTTCGGATAAGGTCATGGTCTCAGGTCGTGAGATCAAACCCTGCATGGGGAGACTCCTTGGGATTCTCTCCCTCTCCCTCACCTTCTTTCCCTATCCCAGCTCTCTCTCTCTCTCAAATAAATAAATAAATAAATAAAATCAATATATCAATATAGCAATCAATATATTTATATATGATTATGTTATAAACACAGGGTTTTCTCAATATGTGAAAAAATACTAGAACTGAGTTTGGTATATATTTATTTAGTTAATAAGACAATGTAAAAGCACAGCAGGTTATTAAAAAGTAGACTTTGTTCTAATGAGGAAAGCAGAAGATACTGGATAGTGAACTGATCCCACTATGTTTAATATGGCACACGTTACTATCCCATTCAAGCAGGAAGCAGAGCCTGATTTCTGTTTGTTCTTTGTTGTGTTCTGTGTCCAACAAGTAAGTAGGTGGCATTTTGATTGTGAAATGAATCTAATGTTTTTTTGAAATGAAAATGTATGTTATCTAATTTAGCATCTCATGAAGTGAAAATATCCCTTATAGAGAGTCCGTAAGAAGTGGTCATAAACAAATTGTATAGTAGGATTGAAATAGGCTTGGAGATGTAAACAAAACAAAACAAAAAACAATGCAGCCATGAAGAATGGATTTTCCTATATTGCTAAGTCTAGAAATTAATGCCTGATGCTCTACATGCCTAAATGTATGTATAGAAAAACAAATAGAAATGACTCAACAATAAAAAATAAATGAATTACTGATAAACAGAACATCATGAATGAATCTTAAAACATGATTGAATGAAAAAAGCCAGACACAAAAGAGTAAACATTACAGGAATCAATTTTTATCAAGTTCTATAACAGCTAAAAGTTATTTATGATGAAAAAAATCAGACTAGTAGTTCCTGGGGCAGCGGGAGGAATATGAGTTGTCTGGGTAGAAACATTAGAGAAATTTTGAGGATGATATTAAGTTTCTGAATTTTGATAGGGCTTGGGTTATACAGATATAAACATGTGTCAAAACTCATCAAATAGAAGATTTTATGCATTTTACTCTATGTAAGTTTTACCTAAAGAAAACATTAACAAAACTGCATGCAATGCTAGGCAAGTTGAACTGTGTAGGGGTTAAGTGTATGGATTCACTTTGAAATGCAAAAAGTAAAATAATGGATTGAGGAATAGATAAATATGGGATAACAGAAATATAATCAAGTATCTTTTGCAGAATCCAAGTAGTTGATAAATGGGTGTTGGCTATAAAATTCTTTTAACTCTTTTGTATGTTTTAGACATGTAACAGAAAGACTGTAAGATTTAAAAGGTAAAGCAAATGTTCTTAATTCTTAAGAATAGTTATTTTTGATTACAGGGTTTAATATACACACATATGTATATGTATACAAACACACATACACATACACATAAACATTGTGTGTTTATATCACATATGGGTGTGCATGTTCTCCTGTGCCTTCTAACTTTTTTTTCATTGAGCCTATTGTACTTTTTGAGATTAGGTTCAGATCTAGCAAAACATCACCAACCCAAACAAAAAGTGTTAAAACCTCTTAGTGGCCCTTTTACATGACAAAGGAATTCCCTATAGTACTCAGCTCTATGTATTTTCTTGGAATTCATATTCTAATTGAATGAGATGCTACAGAGAGTGCCAAACTCTAACATATAGTCATCTTTTGATCAAAATTTGGAAGATGAAATTCAGAATCCATACTAATGTATCGCATAACACATATAACATGGCTATACAATCTTGAAACCTCTATATAGTCATCTGCACTTGAAGGAATTGGCATAATTTATATTTTTACTCAGTTTACCCCAGTTTTTAACTCAGATTACTGTTGGTGTCCTTCTTTTATTCGATATAAACTGAAAAATAGTGGGAGAAATCAAAAATACATTTGTACCACTGTCTATATTTCTATTTCTATTTCTTTTTTTTCCTAATTCTATTTAAATCATGACTAATTATTTTTTGTGTGGATCCCATTTTACGATTTATTTTTTAATAGTTTGGTTTCAAAAGCATTTGGCTCTATAACATGTTATATTTAAGGTCATATAGACTTAAGATCAGAAAGCAGACAGTACAGTGTCCAATGGTCTTAGAGTTGAGCTCTTTACTCTGCTCAGAAAAAAAGTCCCTGAACAAAGTCTGCAAGCTTGACCATAGCACTTGTGTAATGTAATGCGTTGTGAGTGTCTGCTACTTACAGGTATGCAGCTTTTCCTTCTTCGAGTTCTTTACTTTTCCCACTAGAGCCACTCTTCTTCCCGCACATTCTCCTCGTGATGCACATCAATAACCCACATTGTCTAATAAAGAAGCAGCTGACGTCCGTTACCACAAGGATTAGCAAGAGTGCCGCCACTCCCAGGCCAATGACTGCTCCAAGCCCAAGACCATTAAAAAGCGTATCTTAAAAAATAAAAGAAAATAATTTTACTAAGCTCCAAATTAGAAAAAAATAGACAGTTATTTTGAAAATAAATCTTAACTAAAGAGACAGGAAAAAAGTGATAAGTCACTGGCAAATTTTAATTTCATAATTGTTGGGAACCATTTTCTGGCTTTCAAACAATATTTTAAGCAATTGACATGTGAATGATTTGCAATATTTTTTCAAACTTTATTTGGAAAAAAACTCTTAAGTAGCTCTCTTTCCAATATACTTTTTGATTCCCTGAGGGGAAGATAATGAATGTTATCACATCCCCAACTGTACTGTATCAGAAAGTCACAACCATTAATGGATCACCACATTGCTAAAAGGAAAATACAGTCAAAACTCCTGTAAGAAAAGATTAAATAAATGTTCTATATGGAATTATCTTAGTTTTAAGTCTTAAATTTGCAAATTATGTGTGCTCCAAGCACTTTGTTTTGACAGAGAACACACTTTAAAATATCTGTATATGAATATTTTGAAAATCATCATTTTAGAATAAATGGCTTACTTGTATTTTTTCAGTTAATATTTTAATAAATCGTATTAGACTAGAGGCAAACTTGTACAGAGCTATGGTACTTATGACCTTTCTGAAGCTTATCATGGGAAGGTAGGGGATGATGGGAGCCATTTTTCCTTGATGTGTGGCTGCAGGAATTCCTGAAAGTCATACAGAAATTATCGATGGAAGAGATGACTGCGAATAGGCTAGAATATGCTGATTAAGTACAAATAGCAAGGAGGAGAGTGGTAGTGAAAATGAATCAAGTGTTTTATAACTGTAGTTGAAGATGTGGGTAGACTACACAGTCACAGCAGTGTTGGCACAAAAATAAGCACCATGGAAAGAGATTAAACTGGCAATACTGTGTTATCTAGAGAGAAAAGAATAAAATTCTTATAGGACAATTTTAGAGAATTATTCGAAATGATTCTTTTATAAAAAACTTTATTTGACAGATAGAGAGTGCACACACAAGCAGGGGGAGCGGCAGGCAGAGGGAGAGGGATAAGCAGGCTTCCCACCTAGCCTAGGTGGGAGACGCACACAGGGCTCAATCCCAGGACCCTGGCATCGTGATCTGAGCCGGAGGCAGACGCTTAACCCACTCATCCACCCAGGCACCTCTATTTAAAGTGATTATTAACTCAATTATGTTAACATTTGTTTACATAACATTATAAAATTATAATTCTCCTTTTTAATGACAAAATGCATTTATTACTCAGCATCATAATGGCATCTTAAATATATAAGAGGTGTGTAATGCAAGTGACAGACAAGGACAGATGCAGACTTGGTTTGGAGAAAACCACTTCTGAAAAAAAATACATATGTAAAACAAAGTTTTTCTAAGTTATATTTTTAAAATTCGGTGTAATATTTTAATAATGACTTGAAGAGATCGTTATCTAAAGGAATTGATATAACTTTTTATTTTAAATCAATAAGCTGGTGCTGAATGATGACACACCTGTCTGAATCTTAGTTGATTTTTCTACTGAATGACTGAGCCTCACATCTATATCTTTTTTCCCCCAGGAAACACATGTTTTATAAAAAAATCATTCTATCCATGACATGTTTCCTGGCACCTTCCCCAGCGACTTTGTGGTTGACCTGTGCTAAAACATGGAGGTACTTCTACAGCATCTCCATGAAGTTGCAGGTGAGAATTCCCTAAGTATTGAATCAACAAACTTACAGCTCCCATGCCCAAGCAAGTATACTTTTGATTGTAATTCTTTTGTTTCTGATAAAGAAAAACAGGAAACAAACATATAATTGTGTTAGAGGAAAATTAATTTTTCCTGCCATTTTCAGAATCTCTGTTCCCCCACCAAACTTTACCATACTACTTAGGTAGTGATAGTTTAGGAAAATTGCCTAGGTAAGATCCAGAGAAATTACTAGTTTCCATAGCACTCTTCTCGTATCACATGAACCCACTTTGAGGAAAGGCTGAAGAGACAATTAAAAATCATTTTATACATTTTCTTCCATTATCCATTTTAAAATACAAATGAGTCTTACCTGAATGTACCATTACAATACAATAAGGACAATTCACCTAATGAAATTTCTTTGACTATATGTAAAGCTAAAAATTTTTTCAAAATCCACAGGAATTCATTTTGATATACTGCACATGATTCAACTACCAAAGCTCAGAAAAGAAAAGTTGAAAATATGAACCTGATTGGGCATTAGACCCTCTGGACATATTGACTCAATAACCCTGTGCTTTAAACCAGTCACTCCTCTTCCACTTCACTTAGGTCCTTCTCACATGCAGAACGGTTCTAGACACTAAATCCCACAGATCAATGATGATCTACCTGGCCCATTATTAGATCTTCATTTACTTTTTTTTTTTTTTCCTAAATATTAGTTCCACACCCAGCATAGAGCCCAATGCAGGGCTTGAACTCACGTCCCTGGGATTGAGATCTGAGCTGAGATCAAGAGTCGGACACTTAACCCCCTAAGCCATGCAGTCACCCTTTTATTTACCTTTTTTTAAGTTTGAAGGGACTGGCTTTCTACTTAAATGCACTGAAACTGGTGTCCATCACATATTGCTGTATATCCTTGGGTGAGGCAGCTAACTTCTCTAAGACTGAGATGCCACTTTATTAAAATGAGGGCAATTACAGAAACAGCAACAATCACAAACTAGATCATGGGGTTTTTGGAAAGACTGTTGTGAATATAATAATGTACTTAATACTTCTAGCACTTATTGCTCAGGTCAGAGTAAAAATCTAACAAGTATTGGCAATATTATTATTATTATTATTATTATTACTATTGCTACTATTATTTTGCTATTGTAAAATTCTGGGGAAATGAGGTTTTGGTGGAAAAAATAGGCCATCTAAAGTTAAACTAGTCTATAAACATATTTCTTTCATCAGCACCCTAAAGTGGGACACTATCTCTTATTAAACACTGATTATTCTCTTGAGAATACAGTCATTTTTACTTATGTTTAGCTAGTTAGCTTTTAAATGATAAATATTTTATTTATGACCTTTTTAGCATTAAACCAGCATATTGATCTGCTTCATTTCCATCTTTAGAAAAGCTCTTAGAAACATTATATTTGTAAAGCACCTTATGGTAAAGGAATATTGATGCTAAAATAGCTATTACTTTTTTTCTAGGGAAACAAAATTATACCTTTTAAACTCATGATTATAAATGTTGACGGTTGCTTGAAATTATTTTTATGGAAAAACAAATATGTTTTGTCATTGCGGAGGATAGGATGTATAGCAAGTAGGTTTATGTAATAGATATTTAATTTTCTTTTAAAAGTTATGTGTTTTTTTAATTGGCTTAAGAATGTATTTAAATGCTAATATTTTCTCACGTCCTATGAAGTTAGGCTATAATAACTATGAAAGACAAATTTTCTATTTTTTTTTTCTGCCACCTATTTATTCTGGTGGAGAAGTTTACTTATTTGTCTTTGGCTTTTTCACAAACAAAATCATGACCACATGTAAAATTACATCACTAGGATTTGGGGCCTAACAATGTTTTATTTTTTCAGTAACATACAGAAAATACTTTCTTTTTAAGTTAATTACAGTTTTAATTATAGAACTAATTGAGACTGAACATAGCAATCATTTAAAGGATTTTAAGTTCAACTTTTCTTTTTTAGCTTTCCAGAATATTTACACATGTGCTTTAAAATATATGATATTTTATGATAATTTTTACAACTCCATCACATAGGAAAACAATATTATCAGCTCTACTTTACACATAAGGAAACTGAGGTCCAGAGAGGGACAGTGGCCTAAGTCACAGGATAACCCTTGATTATTAGATCAGTACCAATGAAGACTATGTACCTTCAGGTTTTATATTGTTTATACCTGTGTTAGATTTATGTTGTGTATCATCAAATAATCAGGAGAGGAATAACATAGTAAATAAATTAAAATGTGTAGTTTTCTTACAGAAAAATGTCCATTTTTTCCCCTACACTACTAGACAAGGAACAACTATTTAAATGATATTCAACAATATAAATCATTTTTTTATGTATTCTTGCTATTAGCTCTCTCATTTTGTATTGCTCTTTGAAAAGGGGGGGTTTTATATTAGAATAAATAAGAATAAATAATTTAGGAATTATAAAGTTTAAACATCTATTCTTTTGGTATATATTTTATCACTGAAAGCAAAGAGGAGAATCAGGTTGACTGAATTTCTATAACTTTCCTCCCACCTAACCTTCCATCGCATGAAATTTAGAATTTGGCAAGCTGAATCAGTACAAGTCCCCAGACCTTTATGTAATCATGTCCTAACTGAAATAAACACATACAAATTATTAAAATAAGAAAAATAACTTCATTTTAAATTTTGTCACATGCATGTCTTCATGTTTCTGTTGTAGAAATTAACTCACAACTAAAACACTGGATTAATTTTCCATGAAATTTATTGCATTTGATAATACTAGTTTTTCAAAAACCTGTATACTATATTCATAAAACTGGTCTTGCTTTTTGACTCCTTAAGTAGTTTAGTATTTTATTTACCTATTATTCTATTTGTACGTATCATCTTCTACAAATTGATTGAGAATGACTTTCAGACTTGGAAAAGTAATAAAAACATGAAGAAAAAAATTTTTTAATCTAATAGGTCTGAAAAATGGAGATTTCATTTTTGCTCTCAAAATAGTGGTAGCTATTTCCATGAGAGATATTCCTAAATATCGGTAAGTAAACAGTGTATGAAAAACAAGAAGACATTCAAAAATCTTTTGGTGTTTCTCATAACATTGCTAGGTACTATATCCTCCAATATCTCAGGAGGTACACTTGTCTCCTGCTTGTATGTTCTTCCTTCATCCTGCTCAGAGTAACACACTTTCAAACATCAATTGATCTATGGAAAATCTAGGTGTAAATCTATACACATATATGTTTACATATATGTCCT